ATTGTTTCCTTCCCAATATACAGTTTTAAAAAAACCAGAAAGTGTTTCTATTCCTTTGTGCCTTCCTTGCAGTCTGGGAGTCTTCCACTGCTTGTCTGGCACTGTCTTGGAATATCAGCTCTAGACACAGGTCAGCAGTTTGGCCACTGAGACATGGATCTGAGTTTCACAATTATCTTGTCTGGGTCAATGTGGCTCCTTTCCAAAAGTGCCTTCCAGTTTTACAGGATTTCAGTTTGAAACACTTTTCATCTCATTTTCAGCAGCAAGAAGCTCCATCAAACAACACTGCTCACCTCCCTTGTGATTGCTGTGGGGTGTTTATGCACCCAATATTAAAGACAGTGATGGTGTAGAAATTGGGGGCATTGTTTTTGCCACTTTGTATAAAGAATTGCTGCTCAGAAACATCCTGCGAGACTTTGAGAACGTTTGCAATGTGCTTTGAACAGGAAAGCAAAAGTAAATTGTGTGTTTATTTTACCTAATAGATGTTAATTAGGATCCCATTCATAAGCACATTTTCTCTCCTGGTTAGCAATATCCTGAGCCAAAACCTTGGCAAAATAAGAGAGTTCTGATACTTCATTGAAAGTCAGCCTATGTAGACTGTGTGTTATGAGGTCTCTTGCTCCTCTCCCTTAAGGATATTTACTTTTCCTAAATTCTTATTCACAGTCCCCTCATTTTAACAGAAAAAAATGCTTTCATGGTGGTTTAATTCTGCTGCTAGAAAGAAGAGGTTCTTCTTTCCAATGGGCCGCAGAAACAAATTCATCTCCAGGAGAAATAAGTATTTCTCTCCCTGGATGCAGACAAGTTGAAGGAGTGACTGTTTAGGGAATGAACAAGCTTCTGTAGAGTTGTTCCATGGTGGGAAGGACATCTTTATTCATTAGATTCTCTTTATATTTAAGAGGTTTGGAAGCTCCCCTTGCAGGTAATAATCTGGGGGTTTGAGTTGGGGGAGTCTTGTGAGCCCATTCTTGTGAGCCCACGTGGGGCAGGATGACGCAGATTTTGGCAGCAGTGGTGATGCAATAGCTACCCCAGGAAGAGCTCCAGACTTGCTGCCTGTGGACAGGGAGCTGGCTGGAGTGACCCTGCCTTCTCCTCATTTCCAGCTGCAGCACTGAGCTAAGGAGCCTCAAACAGATCCCTGCACTGAGCCCTGCCTGAGGTCTGCAGGCAGTGACAGTGCTGTGTGTGGGGATGGAGTCCCAGGGAGGGGGAACACCATCCTGGGAAAGTGTGGAAAGCTGGGAAAGGTGGGAAGGGCCAGAGCCAGACCCTGGCTTTAGCTGGAGCAGGCAGTGACACAGGAGCCTGTGGCTGTGATGCTGAGCAGAGAGCTCTGAGCAGCTCTGGTTCAGCTCATCTCCCAGCAGACCGTCAGCAAGACATTTAATCCCTTTCTGTTCCTCATCTTTCCACCTAGAATGGAGTGATAAAACTTCCTTTATCCCCGAGCTCCCAGGAGTCTGTTTAGATGGTGAGATCTTTGAGGAGAGAAAACACCTGGCACAGTGAGGCCCCTTTGTCAGATGGGTGCCATTATAATCCCTGTAATTGGAAGCGCCGCTCACCTGTGTGCACATCTCTCCCAGCTTGGGAGTTTCCAGATCCTCACCTCTCCCAGGACTGGTTCCTAACAGCTGTGCAGACAAACTCTCCTATCTCCCAGGAGTTTCTGAGAGTCTAAAATCTGCACCTTTATAAAAATTTCATTTTATTTCAGTTTCTATTTTTTCTTTTTGCTATATAAATTCCTTAAGGATTCATTGAAAAAGCATTTTTTTTCTTTTTTTTAAAGTAATTTTAAACTTTTATCAAAACACTACTTCTCAACAGCATCTCGCTTTTTAAAATTTTATTTTTGTCTTGGAAATATTTCAAACTGGGAGCTGATCCAAAGATGACCTTTCCCCACAGACAGTTTCAACAAATCAATATTTTTCCAGTGCAAAAAAATATCTGTCACTGGAAAATCCTTACTGGCACTTCTTGAACGCTGTAGGGAATGCTTTGCAGGCAGGGACCTGCCATCTGAAAGTTGGTTGCTGAATGCAGAATTAGCACTGATATAGCTCTTTTGATGGCTTCTTCTATATCAGTATAAGCTCTGAGCTGCCACTCACATATAACAACTTCCTTTCAAGTCCTGCCATTTCTCACTTGGATATTTCCCCACAAAGCAGGCTGTTTAACCATTAAAAAAGTCACTGACTTCTTTGCTGTTTAATGGGGAGTTTTGTTTGGGTTTCTGTTGTAGCTGAGGAGGATACATGATCTCTTTTGAACAGAGCTATTAACACGATAAAACGTCTTGGGAACATACAGTCCCAAAGCTGATGGTTTCATCTTTGCTGGGGTATCTGAACACAATTAAATGCAGGGGACTGGGCTAATGAGGGCTTGGGCTTTGCAGTGCTGTGGCACCAGAACACAGAGCTCAGCACCATTACCAGATTTTTCTGTAACTGTTTCCTGAAATATGCTTTGCATTTAGGATTCTGAATCAAACACACGGATGCTATAAAAATCCAATGTTTTCCATACCTCAAAGATGGGAGATTTCAGAAATGTTGGTGTTGCTGAGAGAGGTATTTCCTTTATTTATCTCCCTACAATTATGTGTGTGTATACATGTATATGTGGGCATAAACGCACATGTATTTACACACACACCACATCCACATGTATGTGAATATTTACACCCTTTGTATCCCTACTCTGAGCTGTTTTGCAGGTGCAAACACACATTTGAGGTGCTCTCTACCCATTGCTTCCCCATGCCATGGCTCATACTCGGGCATGTGACCTTGGGCTTTATCACCTTCCATGTTCTTGTGGGCTGTAGAGGGATTCTAGTTTCCAGCCAAAACTGTAAAAAAAGCTGTTTCGTTTTTATGACTTTGTTTCTACCACCACCCACTCTGTCTTTCCAGTTTTACACCAAAGAGCAGAAATTCCCCCTAATTTATGTGCCATTTGTGATCCAGGGACCTGAAGCTGAACAAACACTGGTCTTGTGTAATGCACAGATATTTAGCAATGGTACTCATATGTGTCTAGTACAACTTCTTTAGGGATGTAGTGAGTTCCATCATATCTTCAGCCAGGATGTTCCTCTGGCAGAAGCAGAGGGTTTCCTTCTGCAGGTAAAATTTCTGAGTCATTCAGGAGATCTGGCTGGAGTGTTTCTCCTCACATTCTGCTGTGAAGCTTTGTGGTTATATGTAAAAGAGGGGCTGAAGACTGGAAAAGTGGAAATACTTGCTGTCTGCATCTTTCATTTCCAAAGCTTCCCATAATTTTGCGTACCAGTATTGTCCCCAACCACACTTGGGAAGGAGGTTGTGCTGGTAGTGCCTTCACACTGTGGTTTATTGCCTAGATTTGTGTTCTTCCTGTAATGCTTATGGATGGTTAATTGATGCACTTCTTGATTTTAGTCCACTCCAGAAGGCAGGGGGTGGAGAATCTGAGAGCTGTGAGGTGAAACAATGCATTTCTCAGCAAGCTCTGAAATCTCTGCCTTGTCAATGCTTCTGCCTCTTTATACCTATCAATAAAACTGTGTGTGATGTCCTCGTGGCTAATTGGTGCTTAAGTGCTTTCAGAGCTGTGGGTAAACCACTAATTAGTCACAGTCATTCAGTGAAAATTACTAAAGGCTGATATTTTCCCATATGCTCTATTCGTTTAAAGAAAATGTCTTGAAAGTTCATTGATTTAGGTTTCCCTGGAGTATTTGCTGTTATTTATTTGTTTGTTTGACAATGCCTTTCTGCATTGTGGTTTATACAGATGCTGAATTGTGTTGTCTGCTTCCAGTTTTTGTGAATGTTCTTTGAGTTTGAATAGTGCAAAATCCTCTTTCCAGAAAGAAATGTGGAAATGGAGCAGGATGCAGATACTGCTGTGATAACTATTTTGTTTCATTATGTTCTACATCATCGCTGGGATTGGGATTTGTCTCATCTGCATCCTCTCTTGTACAGATCTGTTTTATAGAGACATGATCTGTTTTATAGAGACATACCAACATGCCTGTACACAAAACACACATGCACCCACAGTCTCTTACATTACATTGGGGAAGAACCATGAGGCTGAAGCGTGTTGACTCAACTGTTTAATGAGGTGAAATAAATCTTGACAAGACCAGCTGGCACTAGAGTCAGGTTTCTCATCTTTTTACCATTACACTGAAATGTGAACAATAGTGGAAAGAAATGTAATTCTTCTTTGTTGTTCTTTTGGTACTCAGCTATGTAGCACTGTATTGAAATCATCCCCTTCCATGGAATGCAAAGCATGGTGGATGCTGTGGAAAATGTTATCGATGCAAAGGTCCCTTTTCCTGGTGCTTTTTCTTAAATTCTGAAACTGTTTTGATCTGGCAGGTCACAGTTTAGAGATTCCTACAGCACACACTGGTTGAGGAGAGCAGCAGCACTGGGGAATGACCCCCAGAATATTCCCAGTCTTTGACCCTGCCTGTCACCAGGTTCTTCCTTTGCTGTACAGCACACCATGACATATTTTCCTCTTTCTCATTCCACCTTCTCCCCAGGGGCATTGCTGGCTGATCATTGCTACCACCAGCTGCAGTTACTTGAGTTTTTTAAAAACAGGAGTAATTAAGTATATTGGACATCTAAGCATTTGGCATGGTTCCAATGCAACCAACGTGGCCTCCCATATAGGATTCCTTTTTAATGGACCAGATTTATTATTGTGAAAAGAGATCTGTTCAAATAGCACAGTTTTTTGGGGGGTAGGTTTTGTTCCTGTCAGTGACATCCATAAGTCTCTTTCATGCTTCCAGACTCACAACTTAATGCCAATCAATCCTTAAAAAATAATTGCTCCCAAACCAACTGGATGCCTATGGATTGACTTGAGAAAGACTGTCTGAGCTTTGAAGTGTATCCCATAATGATGGCTGGCATCTCCAAAAGTAATAACTGCACCTCCTTGCTTTGTGATTACAGCATTTGATGTGTGCTGGGCTCTGGTGCCTGGTGGAAGGAGACACATCCTGTAAAACAAAGTTGGACCCCCCTCTGGATGGCACCGAATGTGGTGCAGACAAGGTAAGCAGAATGCTCAGCAGCAGTCACTTTTTGTTTCCCAGCATTGAGAAAAATGTTTCCAAGATGTTCAGTATTTACCATAAACCCATTGCTGGTCATGTTCTGGGTTGTATTTGAGGTAGAAAGCGTGCAGAGCATTTAGCCTGACATTTGGGGAGATGTGGAATATGGGGATAGAAAAAGAGGCTACTTAAAACCTTTATAGTTTCTACAAGTAGCTCAAAATAGTTGAGCTGAAATTCAGTGATGTTCTGTTCTTCTGAGGTATAATTGGCTGTATTTATTTATATATGGATTTTTTGGGACTTGACTGATTTGGTAACTCTCAGGCCCCTACTTACTGGTTTTGAACTCTAATTTTTTTTTTTTTTTTTTTTTTTTTTTTTTTTTTTTTTTTTTTTTTTTTTTTTTTTTTTTTTTTTTTTTTTTTTTTTTTTTTGGCTATGGTATAGTTGGGGAGGTCAGAAAGAGTAAAATTAAGAAGCTGGTTTCTGAAATCAAGGAGTGGAACCTTTTCTTTGCCTGCAAATAAAGATAAACAATGACAAGAGAAACTGGGTCCTGGAAACCATGACAAGGAAACTGGGAAAAAAATGGTTTTAGGCCCATGTTTTTGTAACTGGAGGAGTCCTGGTGACTCTTTCATAAGGTTTCTTAGCAGTGCTCACTGTGTCACATCCTGGACAAGCTAAGTTTGCTGCTTGGTCAGGAGCCAGCACAATCTATTAGAATCAGAGGGGTTTGGGGCTTTAGCCAAGTTAGGTCCAAAATACTTCAATCATTTTGTACATACTGGGAACAGTGCTGATGAAGGCATTGCTTTGGGGTATAATTTCTTGGACTCAGTTCCTGTGAATCGTGGGGCTTTAAGTTTTAGTACTTAGATAATTATCTGCTTTATAAACTAAGGGGCTCAGTTCTGTGATTGTTTTTTTAATGACAGAACCTCCTTCAGGAGCTAGTTGAGAGTGACACTTAAATTCTACATTTCACCTCCTCCCTTCCTCCTTCTCCTACTGCCATCTCACCAAAGCCTCAAACCCCTAAAACTTACATGTGGACTTGTTACAATCCCTCAGCCATCCTTTAAAGCTCACCTGTGCAAGGTCAGGGCTTCTTCCCAGGCTGTGCTAACCTGATTGCTTTGCAGTGGTGCCGAGCTGGGGAGTGTGTCAGTAAAACCCCCATCCCTGAGCACGTGGACGGGGACTGGAGCGTGTGGAGCCAGTGGAGCATGTGCAGCCGGACGTGCGGAACTGGGGTGCGCTTCAGGCAGCGGAAATGTGACAACCCCCCGTAAGTCCTCACACCATCCTGGCTCCTTTAGCCATGCTGGCAGCCTCTTCCCTCTTGGGCAACCCTTACTGCAAGAGTACAGGGGAGAAATGGGCAGCAGAGCTGTGCAGAAGCCCTGAGGAATTTCTGATTCACAAGCTGCGATGACCAGGTCAGAATCTTGGAGGGACTTGAAGTAGGTTCTGTGGAAGTGGCTTGAAAGGTCACTTTTGGAAGTTTCCCATTGCAGTGATTCAAAGGTGGATAGAGTTGAATTAGATATATGTAGTTGGGCAGAAAAACTGATGTTGTGTTTCCCCTCCAGCACGACAGTGAATGAGGAGGGGCTGATCTGGATCTACAGACCATGTGAGCCAATGTGCCTTAGAGATCAGTTTTGCAGTAGTGCTTTCTCTGGGCTTGGGGAGCAGGGCAGTTGCTGACAATGATCAGAGTGTCCCAGAGCTGCGTTTGCAAAGCCCCTTGAGATGTTCTGTAGGTCAGGATGTGCTGAATAAGAACAGGAAGGTTTTCATGCTTGCAGAGATCCATGGGTGCTGTTTAGCTCCTGCACAGTGACCAATGCTCTCTGCATGGGCTTGGATTTTTTCTGATTCAGGATAAAATGTAGGTGTTGTCCTTCATCCCCCAGGTCAGTTGAGATCCATCTGGAAATCTCTTCATCGTTTTGGGGTCCTGAAGAGATTACAATGGTGCCATTTAACTGGCCACCCAATTGTGATTATTATAACTTTAAAGCCTTGGGAGCAGCCCTCCAAGTGATTTTATTCAGATTTTATGTTTTCTTCTACACCCAAAGTACCGAATGCTTTTCTTTTTAAACTGGGGCTGAAATTCTGCATAGCAACACAGTCACTCGAAGACATGCCTAGGTGATGTATAGGCTCACAGTTGCTGCTGTTGACCTGTAATCATGTGAAAATGATATTTTTGTTTATTTCTCTCCTTATCTGAGCTGCAGTTGCATGTCTGTAATGTGTAGCTTTGATTTTTATCAGCTCATTTTCCTGAAAAGCGGACTGAGCTGGTTTCTTTGCTGTCAGCTACAGAAGGCTATTTAGGTTTAGTGCTGACCAAACCTAAATCCATTCATCATCGTTCCTTAAATTACAGGAAATGCTCCTTCCAACACTGCACACTGATTTTAAAATTCTCTTGCTCATATACATTCTTGGCTGGAGATACACACGTGATCTTCTTTTGCTTCAAATTCCTGGCCTCAGCCCACTTCTGCAGCTGGTTTATTCACTGTCCAGAAATACTGGCTAAGAGATTTATCTTTTATTTTGTATATATTTGGTCTTGGCATTTTTTTTTACAGGAATCTCTACTCCTGCCAGCTGACTCTTGAGCCTGTGGGACTATCAGTATTTTTAAACCAGTTGCTTCACTGTTTGATTTGGTTTTTCCTCTCTTTAATTTCTTTGAACATTTACATGCATTGCCTCCCCAGTGGTTGTAAGGAATGTGTCAAAAGCCAGTTTGCACGTGCAGACTTTTGAGTTGTACTGCCTTGTGTTCCTGTCTAAGCTTTGGGCTGTTGTTGAACAGTTGGACTGAGGAGAATACCATTGGCTTAAACAGAACATCCCTTCTCCAGTCCCCTCTTGTCATGTAAAAGGATCACAGCAGCAAAAATGAACTTTGATTTCTTCAGTTCCATTAGTTGGTAGATTCTCTTGGCATGAATACAGTGAAAGGTGGCTGCCTACCAGAATATCTCACACAGTCACTGTTTCAGACATGGGCCAGGAGGGGCTTGAATTGCACTGTTTATTGGAAATCCCAGGCTTGAGCTCATAAGTGTAAGGCTTGGGGCCTGAAATTCCAGATTCCATGCTTACCTGTGTTTTTTTGTTTGTATTTTGTTTTATTTTGCAAAGAAAATACAGGCTATTACTGAGAGTTTGAGTTTTCCTTCTTCTCTGGGGATTCATAAATAAAAGCAGATAAGTTTTGCAGGTGCTTAATTCTGATGTTGCATTAGTGGCCTTTTCTGTATGTTTAAAAAACAAATGTGTGGAATGGCATGGATTTCATGGATGGAGATTGTCTGCAGCACACGTTTGTTTCTGGTTACCCTGCCTACATTGCAGGTTATGCTGCTTTTGTGGTATCTTAATTGCAAGGAGGACACATGCTGATGGGGTGTTTGCTGTGTCTCCATCCTCAGGAGTGTTTGAGGCAGGGGGTAGGAAGGAGAAGATGGAACATTCCAGATGTTTGGTACTGACCCTGGTTTTGTTCCCACTGCAGCCCGGGGCCGGGTGGGAAGAACTGCCGGGGGGCCAGCGTGGAGCACACGGTGTGTGAGAACCTGCCCTGCCCCAAAGGGGTGCCCAGCTTCAGGGACCAGCAGTGCCAGGCCCACGACAGGTACACCAACAAGAAGAAAAGCCTCCTGACAGCTGTCATCGTGGATGGTGAGTTTTTTCATCTCCCTCTGTAATTCCTTGCTGTTCTTTCACTGCAGTTTCTCATCTGCAGGGCTCCATTGTTGGTGAAAAGGCTGCAATAGGCCCCCTTTAGCTACACCTGAAAGATTAATTACAATTAATTGTTCTTGGTGCTGCCCTGCTGTTCCTTTAGCCTTCTTAATAGAATATACAGAGTTGTCAATGCTTTACTCACCTTTTTGAAATGCTGGGAGAGAAAGGCCTTAACTCGATTCCCAGCCTGAAGTTGGGAATTTAAGACTGGGAATCAGAGAGTTGGGAATTTAAGCATTAAAAAGCTCCAGTTAGTTTAGAACTGAAAAAAAAAAAGGTGGGTTCCCTGTGACATATTTTAATTTATGTCACTTTTGGGCATCTCAGCATGACTGCCTAACTCACCCACATTCCTTTAACACTTCCTCTTCTGGCTCTTACTCTTCATCTACTATTCAACCAGATACTGGTGGGATATGAAATGGTCTGGAGAACTTGTTCTTCTAAAATCACTAGCTGCAGCCTGAATTTTGATTGAGTGATCAATGACTTGATCATTCTTATCAAACTGATGAATCTTCCCTGTAATAAACATCTTCCCTTTACAAACAGATACACAAAACTGTATTGACTAATTGGTTTTCTGTGCTGTTAAAGCCCAGTCTCATCAATGTAACCCTTTAAATAGTGATATTTAAAGTGGGAAAATGACAGGCCTAAACTGAAAGCCTCATGTTCCTTCAAACATGAGATATACAAATGTATTCATGTAGAGAATGCATCACCATTGCCTCGGACTTTTGTTTGTGCTGTTCCCAAGGGCAGTTGTCATATTTCTTTTCCCAGATAAGCCATGTGAGCTCTTCTGCTCCCCACTGGGCAAGGATTCTCCTGTGCTGGTGACAGACAGAGTCCTGGATGGAACCCCCTGTGGGCCCTATGAGACAGACCTCTGTGTACATGGCAAGTGCCAGGTGGAGTAACCTTCTCTTGTTCTATTCCTAGTGTTAGGTTCAGTCTGGGGCAGCACTGTGCTGGGGGCTGGGAGTCTGTCCCTGAGGGGAGGGGACAGTCCTGTTTTATAAGGGCTCCACTACAAGTGCTCCATGGTTCTGTTATTGGTCTGAGAGTTTTGCTGAATGCCCGAGCTATGATATTATTCCTGAACAGCTGGGAATGCTCAAAAATCACATTTGGTTGTGTGCATGGCTTGGGTGGGAAGGGACTTCTGTGAGGGGAAGTCTGGCCTGGTTGATTTCTCTACAAATTGTCACTAGCCTGTTACAAGCATTATCTTGCCAGAATCATGATGCTTTTGGGTCTACCTGGTTCCTTCTTAGAAATCCTGAGGAAGCTTTTCAGTACCAGTTGCTCCTTGGCTCCTGCAGCTACATGAGCCAGAGTCTTCAGATTGAATTCCCTTTTCCTTAGAGTGATGGCCTATAACCATTGCAGTGATTATTTCTCTCTAACCAAATTACACACAGACCCAAAATGAGTTGTGGGAGATCTCTGTAATAAAACTTCATGGTTTGCTGAGAGTGTTTGTAATACATTGAATGCTAAGGAGGGCAGCTCTTAGACCTGGTGCTTCAAGTTCCTCAAAAATTTAATGGAGTTGTGTAGACCCATATAAAATGGAGATTTAATATTTGGACAAGGGAAGGAGGATGAGAACATGTGTATTTAAAGATTATAAAAGACAGGAAGTTGTTTGGAGTGGGTGCTCCTGGGCATTCAGGTCATTCATCATGGACAATTTGACAGGACAGACCCTTCATGAGTGTCCTCTCTCCTGATGCTGGAGCACGTGTTCAGAGTGTGCTGCACGCACCACAGTGGTGAGAATGAGAGTCCACTTGGCTACAGCAGCCTTGCCAGGGCTGGATTCTTCTGGCAGTTCTTCCCTTTAAGTTTCTCCTCATCTAGATTTGTATCCTGTGGCAGGAGTTGCTCTTCCTGGTATTAACCAGCCCGCTGTATCCACCAGAACAGCTTTTTAGCATCACCCTTTATTTCCACTAACCCCACTGGCTTGCCCTGGGGGCACAGGGCACACCAAATTTGGCTTTATTTCTGATTTCTGGGAGTAGTTAAGAAATGCCAATTTTTGTTGCTTTGAGCCTTCCAGTCGGGGAGATAAATGACCACAATACCCACCTGGGTGTGAGAGAGGCTTTGGAGGCATAAAGTAGCTTTACTAATAACAATGCAGAGAGAGAAGTGAAAAATCTTTGGATTGAATTTTGCACTGCTGCAGGAGACACTTCCCACTGTTTCTTGACAAATGATGCTGAAGAGGCATTTTTAATTCACTCTAATTTATTCCAATGAAGAATATGAATAGCAACAGTCTGGGGAGTCAGTACAAGTTTGATTCTTTATAATACAAAGTGCTTTTCATATAGAACCAGGTTCATGGTGTATCCCAAGTTACTTATTTTTTCCCAGTTTTTGGCTATATCTGAAAAAAGCTAAAACAAAACCCATTAATAACCTTCTATAGTCAGGCCAGCTGTGCACCTCCAGCTGTGTGCCATTGACCATTACTCTGGGCTGGCCAGTTTTATTGCTCCAAACCTTCAGAACTGCCACAAATGGTAAATCAGACATCATAGCAAGGCACATTTTTTTCATCCAGGGAGGATCAGTAGCCAGCTCCCTCCAAATGAATTCCTTTATGAGCACAGAGCACTGGAGGTACATCATGAAAAGCAAATTTCACTCTGAGTCAGGGGCAACTGCCTTTAACTGTGCAGAGAGGTGATGACAGCTGTAGAACATTCAGTCCATTTGCATCTGGCTGAGAAAAAGATTTTAAATGATCAGTTCAAGCCGAGCAGATTTGAAAGCCCTGTGAACTCATTTATAATACTCCTCTGCCATATATGCAGTGCAGTGCTGAGAATTGCCATATGTGCCTGTGTACCCCATTTGCCATAGATACTTGTCTAACTAGCTGTCTATTAAACCAATTTAATTGCCACATTCATTTAATTACTCCTCTCCTTGTTTCTTTACCCAGTGTAGACAAAGCCTGGCAATAAGCATTGCAGGAGGCCTGGAGAAGAGAATTAAGTGCTGAAATCAGAGGGTGGTATTACTGTTATTTATTTTCTTGTGTAATCCTTCTAGTTAGAGGCTCTCAAAGGCAGGAATGACACATTGTCAGTGCAACAGACAAATTAGCAGTAACCATTGCCTGTGAGCATCTAGCCCAGACAGTGTAATAGATCTTCTCCCCTCATTAGATGCTCCTAAATGCAGCTGGTGAATTGTTCTTGGATGATGAATGAATGTAGATGAACATGGCAGAGAAAAAACTGTTGCAAGGAGAGGAGGGTTTTGAGAAGGAAAGCAGGAACAGGTTCTCTTAAGCCTCAGAATGCCCCAAATACATTTGGGCACTAAGGGAATTTTCTATCAGTTGTATTTTGTGAAGTTACTACAGTTTCTTTTTAAAGCTGAACTCCAATCTAAAAGGTGTCAATGAAGCCTTTGCTATCAGCCTCACTATCCCTAAAACAAAATCATCAAAAGCAGCAGCATCTCTATTTGTCCCTTACGCCTGAAGGCAGCTGGAGTGAGTAAACTTGGTTATTACTTTGATCATGCAGAGAAGCACCAAAGAGCGAAGTCAGCCCTAAATTTAGCATGAGGGGTCCTGAATCACCTAGACTTTTTCTAGCCTTACTCCTTGTTTTTGAGATGAATCATAAGGTCTTAATTCAATTTTTTTCTTGTTTATTTGGGTTGTTTTTGAGGCAGAACATTTCAGATGCACCATTTTTTACCATCCTCTGAGCAGACTGGATCCCCTGTTCAAAGAATATGTAGGTCTTTGACCTTTTCTCCCCAGAATGTACATGGTCTTCTAGCAAGGAGAATTTATTTTCTCTAGAGATTTTTCAGAGACAGAAATTCTGTAGCAGGCTGGAGAACAAGAACAGCCTGATGTGTTGGAGGAGGAGGAGGGTGAGTGCTCATTTAGGCTTTGCAGCAATTTGCTTATCTTGTCATGGACACTGCAGCCCTAGGGAAGGTGGGGTAGGGCACTGAAACCTGCACCTCACACTGGGTTCATCTTCCCCTGTTTCTCTTCAAGTAACAAATGGCTTTCAGGGAGAGGATTCCCTGAGGGTTTTGTTCTTCCCTGGGCCTGTGGGGTGTGTGTTTGATGAGAGAACACTCATGAGCACAGGGCACTTTCTAACCCCTTACAGTGTTTTGCTCTGTGCTGCTGAGGTTAATTCAAAACTGCTGGCAGAAGTGGAGCTAAAAAAAGTGTCAGATGTCACAGAGCAGAGGGGTGAGGAGAAGACAAGCTGCTCAGCTGACTGTTCTGATGCACATGACCTTATGCTGGCTTTTCTCAAAGGAGGATTAGTCTGAGCCTCATGACAGCATGAGAAGTTTCCAGTGGGGACTACAGATTGTGCTTCAGGATGTAATTTAAGGTCTCTGTGAAAAGAGAGACCTCCTGTGTAGCAGAACTGGGCTAAAGATCAAGGGCAGCCTTTGCTGTGATTTAACAATTTAAGAGGTGAAGATGTTTTGGCTCTATCTGCAGTTTTCTCATGAATGTTTTGTCGTATCACACCTCCTTTCAACTGGCTGGTGAATCCACAGTGTGTTTAATGATAATAAGCCACATATTAGGCTGTCCTGGCACAACAAGATTGTCACAGAACTACTTTCTTCTGAAAGTGATTGTCACACTCTATGAAAGGGGAGCACAAATTGGAAAATGGACAGATTTTCAAAAATAGCTTCTGCAGACTGGACAGGCAGAGTGTTAGGAGAGTGCCACAGGTGGCAGAGGAGAAATTGAACTTGTCAACTGGACCTGCTTCTGGAATACAGTTTTTTACATACTTAGTACCCACTTTTTGCATTTGATTGATGCCTGGAGTTCTGGCTTTGTCTCCTCACTTGAGTATTTTCCATGTATTATTCATATTCCTGCATTAGAAACTGTGGTACAAGATGTTCCAGACTGGGTAACTTGTCTTCATACAACAACTTGGCTTAGCATTGAACTTTGATAAATTATTTAGTGCCTGTGCACAAAATCCAGAAGGATTGTCTGAACTACAGAAACCTGTTGTATAATTGCCTTTTTGGTTTTTTCCATGTCTGAATCTCTAGCAGTGTAATCTGAGGTTTAAAAGAGTATCAGGGATTTTGGTGAGTAAGGCATAGTGACAAAACCAAGTCTTTGTCTATATCCTTCTAGTTTGTGGTGTACTTTGCAGTGGGGTATGAAAAAACCCAAAAAAAACCATGCTACTTCCCCCAGTTTTTCTTCCATGTTATCCCATGGAAAGCATATAAGAGAACACAAGCAAAGGAGTTTCTGGGATGGGAAAGGGCTTTGTATTATTTGCATGTTCTCTCATGAAAACAGAGGTTTTGACACATTTCCTTCAATATCTATATGTGAAAAATCATGAATTGTTGTGTCTAACACCCCATGAGCTGCTGAGGGATCTAAGCACAAAGTCAATGGAAGATGCCATTGCAGATGAGATAATGCTGATTTAAAACAGGAAGAGTCTAACTCCTGATCCAGCAGAGCTGCTCTGATTTAGACACAATCTGAAGGAAAATGACAGGAAGATATTTGCTGAACTAACTCCTACGAGGACTCCAAACCTTATCACAAAATTTGGTGTGGAACAGAAATTGGAGTAACTCAGAGGTGATCTGCTTGATTAGGGACCCAGACTCACCTCACCCAGCCCTGACAGCCCCCAGAACCCTCCACAGGGGCAGACATGTTTAAAACAATGAAATAAGAATTCTCTTCCCCTCAGATCTGAATGTTATTTGCTCACATCTGTACATTCCTGTTTCATGTGGTCCATCCCTGGAGGTATCAATGACACTGGATATTATGGACAGAAGGAATTGGCAATGTAGATGAATCTGTCATAACCAGCCTGCTCTGTACATGATTAATTTGTAAAGTGGTACATGTTTCATCAATATTTATATTTGATCCATTGAGACAGCCAGTTAGTTCAGCATATGGGAAGCATTACAGTTTTGTGAGCCTACAATGTCATTTCTTGCACAGAGTGGGTGTATATAACAAAATAATTGTGTTTATGTAGCAAAACATACCCTCACAAGCTGTATCAATTGAGTTCCTTCACAGCCATTGAAAATACAAATAAAAATATCATTAAAAATACTCAAGCAATACAGAGAATAGTTCACACAGAAGAATCCAAGTGATACGTATTCAAAAGAGAAGAGTTTTCCTGTGCTGGAGCCAGCTATGACTGAAGCTGGAAATACCACCCAACAAGCAGTACTTTCAGATGTTTAATTATAAAAATGAGAAGAAGGGGGAGGAAGGGAAGGAAGGGTGGATGGAGATATCAGCTTAAAGAGAATTAATTTCAGGCCTTTGGCTCAGCAAACATGCAGTTACCTGCCAATTTAAAGGTCAGTGGCTAGTTCCAAAGTGTGGTGTCAGAGCAGGAGACTGCTTGGGTTGGAAGAGCCTTAAGAAACCTGTGGACACATTTCTGACTGTCCATGCTGAGGACTTGAAGCCCTAAAAGACTTATTTTCATGTTTCTTGCCAGCATTCCCATGTTTTAAAGCTGCTTGCCTTCTCAGCAGTCCATTCAAGACTGATGGAACTGAAAGTATCCAGCAATTGCTGGATGTACTGGTCCATGGGCTCGTTCTCCTCATCTGCAGGATAACTCTTGGGTCAGAAACACATGGGATGTTATTGTTATTTACAAGGTCTTTCCTTCTTCAGAGTGTAAAGCTTCCCCTTTCTGCTTCTTTATTTAATAAATCCCTTACCTTGACTGGCTGGACTGGACAGGAAGCAACAGAAAGCAAGTGAGAGATGGCAAAGATCCAGTAACTCCCTTGAACTATTTAGGTTTTGAGGGATTCTTTCTGCACTGTGAAAACTTGAGTTTTGAGCAGTAAAACTTGGGATTTTTTTGCATATGGCTTCACATTTTGGAAAGCTTTCTTCAGGCTGAGGATATCTCTGTGGTTAAAGGATGGGCAGTATAAATACACAGAGCATATTGTCAGTGGGAAGCTGCTGATGTACCCACTGGATGTACATCCAGCCAGTGCTGGAGTCTCAGGGGCTCTCACACCTCGGAGAAATCTCTCAATTAACAGCCCAAAGACTGCTGGCAGATGCTTTGCACCCACAGAGGTGATAGCCACTGTGTTCTGCCCTTCCAGTCCTGTCTCTTCCCCTTTGATCCACTGATCCACTTGTTTTAAGAGTGGCCATGGCGTCTGTTTTAAGGTGATTTTCCACGTAGGGAATTTTCAAAGGATCAGAGTGACCAAGGTGGTTACTGCAGTGTGTTTCTAAATGACTTTGCAGCTTTTGGAATCCACTGTCAAATCTTACCCAAAGCTGTTTCATTATGTACTGTTATTAAATGTACTCTTATTAAATGCACTTTCAGTTTGGAAAATGATTGGAAGGCTTTGGGAAACGGGCTCTAATGTTTATGTAGACAACACTAAAGTGCTTCCAAGGTATTTTTCCCCCATAAAGTAGCAAGAATGCACCAATTTTCGTCTTGAAGCCAAGAAAAAAAAAAGTGTTTTATTGTCTTAGAGATATTCCTTTGTAAGAAGCCGTTTCCTGGCCCAAACGTGAGGGGGGCTTTAAGTCTCAAGGCCTGGATTGAGGGAAAAGTTTGCCCTCTGGATGGGAGCAATGGTGCCATTGAAGAGGAGGGTGCAAGGGCCATTCCCAGTTCCTTCACTCACAGGGAATAGGGTGAAGATGAAAGGTAAAAACCAGCAAAGATACTGGGAGTCACATTTGTGGATTCAGTGGGTTCTTTCCGTGCCGTTCTGAGAGGGCCTCTCAAGTGAAAGGGTGTCAGTGATCAAGTAAAGGTGTGAGGAAATCTTGAACTCCAGTCTCAGATGAGAGGGGACTCAGCCTTCTCAAGCTTTGCTGGCTTACACTGGTTTCCATTATCTGGGAAACTCCAGTGTAAATACAAAGCATGTGATTGCCAGCTCCCCATTCTTTCCCTGCCTCCATTAGAGTCCTACAGACTCCTCATGTAGCCCTGGGAATAAGTGTGGTTCAACACTCATTATGTTCCCTTTATTCATCTGTGTGCTCACATAGTGCTAATAACAATGCAGCACAATAAAAGATAGCACCAGAGCCTTAAATTAAACACAGCCTTTCCAGTATCTCAGCAGGGTGGCAGGCAGGCATTTATTTCCAGCTGCCTTTCAGCAACCCCATTAATAAATCATCCTGATTTTCCTGGAAGGAGAACTGCTGGGACATCCTTCTGTTCTGGGGGCAGAATCACGTTCAATATCCTAAAATTATTTGTTGGACATGGGCGTGAAGTTTAGGCTTGAGAATTGCAACTGCCAGAAACTCCATAATCTTCTTCCTCCCTCTTTTAACTCCTATTTATGCATTTATATAGGTTTTTTTCCTGCTGTTCCTGTGCACCAGTGTAGGTGCTGTGCCAGTTAATGAGCAGTATTTCCCTGGTATGTGTTTAGGATGATTACCCTCTCTCAGCATGTCTGTCCCTAATGATTTACCCAGACAAGCTCTGCATCAGCACACGGTGGAACGCTGGCAATCTTTGATCCCTGAAATACATCTGGACTCAGGCAGTGGCCAGGGTCTTCTGAAACAAGGGGAATGTTGGAATTCTGATCCAAATTGCATTGCTTACACACAGACGGGCTCAGATAAACAGCCCGAGCTCTCTTAATATTTCCCTGCTTACCCTATTTTTCAAAATGTTTGTTGTTTTGATTGTTCCCTAAGATATCTCTCCAACTTTCCTCTGGCTTCATCACAGGAAGGCAAAGAAGGGAGAGACCCAATAGCCTTATTCAAATAAGTCTTACTAGTGACAGTCCTGCTACTTATTTGCCAAGAAACTGTTTATCTATGCAGAATAAATCAAACTAATTTTTAATAGTGCAATCTCTGCTAATAACTTGCATAATGACAAGACTTATTTCAGTAGAAATTTATGGTTTAAGAGTGAATTGCTGATCAGTTTGAGGGTCTTACATGGACAGAATGCAGTTTATGTGGATTAATGGTGATGTTGTCAGCGTCAAGATTTACAAATGTGGAATGTTCTCCATCATGACCTGTGAATGCTTTGTGAATAAGGAAGATGATGGTGATAATCCCAATAGCTACAGGGAGAATATTGTGACTTCCCATGTGTGGAAGCAGAACTGTAGGTTTTTATAGGAAAAAAATAGGTATGTATAGAAAATTATGAAAACACCATTTCTAATGAAGCTTTAGGTGAAACTGTTAGATTTTATAATTTATTTTTCAATTTAATGTTGATTCTTAATACAGTGCGAGCATGTGGAAAATTTCATAATTGCATAGGCAGTCTTGTGGTAAAAATTGGCCAGATATGAAAATTACCTGCTTCCACTGAACTACTCTTTCATATCAGGTACCTTGAGCCATCTGATTAATGAGATCTTTTTTCAGGTATTTCAAAAGTTTAATTGAGAGCTCAGTTTTTCTCTCCATTCAGGTTTTCAGTCAGATATCAATCTTAGTCTTGACCCCATTGTTTAGAGATGCTCTAACCTTGCAAACAATGTGATGGGGATCTCTGGTTGTTGTCATTAGAAAATTGGCTGTGATGGGATCATTGGCTCAGCTGCCAAAGAGGATCGCTGTGGGATCTGCAGTGGCGATGGGAAAACCTGCAAAGTGGTCAAAGGAGATTTCAACCACACCAAGGGCATGGGTGAGTAACACTCTGGGGTTCTCCTGCCTGCTGGAGGAGAGTTGGGGTGGCAGTAACAGCTCTTCTTAGATAGCACTGGGGTCACCTAGCAAGAACAGCTCTAGGAAGCATCTAAGGAACACAGAACAAACCTCAGCTCATTTCAGGTGTGATATCCCATCTGCTTCTTACTCAGTCACCCAGATACCAGCCACTGCCTCTGCCTGAAATTCAGAGTGAAGTTGTGTTTCTCATTCTGAGTGCTACTGGTGCTGATGATTTTAAATAGGAGACAAAATCACAGAGTCTTTCCCAGCAGGAGGGAAGTTGGATTTCAGCACCATCTTTGAGCTCTCAGAATGATGCATGTTGCGTGTTGTAGATGATTCATGTTATAATCAGAATATCTCAGCTAAAGGAAAGAGCAGTGCACTCCCCTCTGAATATTTTTACTGATTCCCTGCCAGCAAAAATCCAGTATAGGAGTTTGGAATTAAGACTTTTCCCTTTCTTGTTAAACATTAATATATGTACAGCTTGGTGTTTGAATTAGTCTTTGTTCCAGGGTTTCTGTACTACACTTCTGAGAACCCTGTTATCACACATCCTAATTAGCCAAAGGGAGGGAAAGCCACGTCCAAAACTTGGAAGCTGCTCCAGGAGAAAACAACTGTCCAGAAAAAAAAATTGTTTCCCATTCAGTGAATATAAAACTGGCATTTCAGTATGGAGAGACACATTCAATGTGCCGTTCCTGGGCTGAGTTCCTCAGAGCTCATGAAAATCCCCTTTCAGCACACACTTCAGTTCAGTTGATTGGCTAAAGCAGCACCAATGCTTAGCAGCTCCCTTTAGTGCAGGTCTCAGCTCTGAAGTCTGAGGCTCTGATTTTGTAAACTGACCTCTTCCTCTCTCCCCTCCTCCTCACCTGTGGGGCCAGCTAGGATGTGTCACCTCCTGTGAGATGCAGGAAGGATTTCCCACCTGCACCACATCTCTCTGGAGCACATTTGTGTGCCTGCCCAACCTGTTGAATTAGTGCATTAGTGTCTTTGACTCTTTTGTCCCAATTATTTTCCACCCACTTATATCAAGTCTTTTGTATTTGATGCAAGTGGTGAGAAAAGTTCCTCATTTCCACTGGAAAAAAGCCCAATTATTCTCCATTTCTGTAGCAGCTTATATAGGTTTCATGGATTTCTTGCATGCTGCTGAAGAGGGGCTATCTTTTATCTCTTCCAATGAGTCTACAAAACATCTTGTGCAGATAAATATGAAATTTCTGGGTCACTGCCAGGAGGTTGCACCCATTTCCAGCTACACAGCCTGCTTGAGGTTGTGACTTTACAAGGCTGGAGGAGCAGAGCAGTTTCAGCTTTAACTGCCTGCCAGAGCTCTGCAGGAGGTTTTCACCCTCAGTGCCCTGGAACCTAATCAGAAGGAATTCCTGATGACTCGTAGGCAGTGTTCAAACATTCAGATTCTCTACTGATCATCTCAGACGTGCAAACCTGTCAAAGTCTTGCTTTGTCAATGCAACGTTTCCACCTTTAGCCAGCTCACATAATCTAGAAGATAATTGTTTTTACCAGTATAACCTCATAAACATGTATTAGATGTTTTGTTTTGTTTTTAATTTAATTTGGAAAGTTACATTTTATGTATGCTTCCATCCATTTCTGCTCACATGCTGCTGTTTTGCAGAATCAGGTCCTCAGGTGAACCCACTGAATTTCATGCAGTAAGCAAAGCTCCAGGTCTGGGGTATCACAAGTGAACATGGCATTACTCAAGGGGGAAAAAAGGCTTTTTCAAATAAATTGAGAGTTAAGTAAAAATTTGATGGAAGCTGGGGCAAAGAAAGACCCACAATATTCTGGTGATAACAAGTTCAAGGTTTGGGTGTGCAAATGATTGCACAGCTCAGTGGCAAATCCCCACAATCTGGCTGCATTCCAAGTCAAGGGCAAGACCCTGAGTCCAATGTGCTGATTTATTATTTCAAAAGAGAATAGACTTCAAACATCAAGACATTGATTGTTTTGGAGTGCTGTCTGTTTGGGGAATTGCAGCTGCAGCCTTGGGTCTTGGCTCTGCCCGGGGTACTCCTCTGGTTGCAGGACTGGTCCCTCTGTGTCCTGTGATTGCAAATGATGTTGTGGAGCCCTGTGAACTGAACTAAACCCCTGCCAACTCCTTTCTGTTTCTTAGTAACCAATAGTCATTGTAAGAAGGTTTCCACATGTGTGATGGCAAAGGCAAAGGCTGTTCCCAAGTGTTTCTCGTGTAAGATACTTGAATGCTGTTTGCAGTGTCAGTGGGTGTTGGTGAAATCCTTTGGTGTTGGTTCTTTATCTTGGTTTTGTCGGATTAGATGGGGAAATTTGGTATCAAAAGCCATGGATAAACTTCAAGTCCTTTTACTGTTTCACTTCTCTTGTCAGAGATACAGAACAGATCCTTTCCTCTTAGGGAACCTGTCTGTGTGAAAGGAAGCCAAATTTTCATGCACCAAGCAAAAATAACCAGATCTATTTCTTTTTTCCCCCAACTTTAATGTCACAGAGGTTCTGCCACCCTGATGGGAAAGATGGTGGAACATTCAAAGTGCCTTGTAGGAGGTCCAGCAGTTCAGATCTAACCACCTGTGATCCAGGGTGATCCAACTGGAAATGAGCCCCATTTTTTTGCTGGAGAGGAGGTCAAAAGCCTTTATTTTATGATGCTAAACATCACATACACTTGTGTGCAGCTGGCTGTCTTCAGCAGGCCAGCTGAATGCACTGTTTAGACTGAGGTTTTCTTTTTGCCCTGTACCTATTTCTACAAAATAATTTTTCAAAACCAAACACAGAGTTGTTCTGAAGTCCACCTCTGTCACTCTGCCACTGTACAGGGGACCTAGAAATGAAGGACAGCTCTTTGACCCCTGTCTGTTGGGGAGCTGATTTATCACTGACAACTTCTTCAAGGTTGTGCCTGTGATGCTCAGACCTGGGTCTGTCTCTCCTGATTTTTCTCAGCCACATCAGAATTTTCATTTATGATTCTGATTCCAAATAATTTATAGTTATAATTCATAAGAATGACCACAGATGTTTGGATTTTTTTTTAATGGCAGAATCTGATAAGGTGAGATATGCCTGTTGTAACTATCATTTAGGGAAAGGAAAAGTACATCTTTTTCTAGGATTTTTTCTTTTTAAGATGGTGGAAAAGTAGAGGTTTTATTGCATATGCTGTTCATCCAGCACTTGCTGAAAGTTAAGTTTAAACAGTAGTGTTGTCATGCTGGCTGGGAGCATCTTTAGCCAACACAAAAATATCTTTTTTTATCAATAGAGTACACATGTAAATTGCAAGAAAATAGAACTCTACCTAATCTTTAACTCAGAGATCCCTTATAGTGGTTTCATCAGAACATGCAAGAGTTACCAACTTTGCAGCAATAGTAGGAGGCTTTGCAATTTATCCATGGCGCTTCAGAGAAATTATTTTCTTACAAATGAGTTATCCCATGGCTGGAAGTGGACAGGTGCCAGTGCAGGATTTATTCTCAAGCTAAAAGCAAAGGAGAATCATCACAGCTATTCAGAAATAGACACATAATTTGCACTCCACTGCAACAAGTAGCCATCAGCAAAAGCTGCAAGGTGAGAAGGAGTTGGAGTCTGAGATGCTCAGCTGGTGCCAATCCCTGAAGTACCATGGAAGCTGTGCCAGCCTTGGCTGCAGGTAGGCAGGACAGGCTGATCTCCTTGGCTTCTACCCTGAGATGTTTGTTCAAAGCACTTTTGGGAGGTTTGATAATGGGCTGGGCATTGTTGACCTTCTCACACCTGATTTTGGTGTGTACAGGGATAAAATAGGAAGGTGCAATGCCCAGGGGTTGGCACTTTCAGCCATGGGATCATTTTTCCTTCAACTTGGAGTCTGTCTTTCATTGCAGTGTGAACCAGAAGAGTTTTGCAGTAGATCAGTGACATTCTGAAGTTCACACTAAACTTTCTGTTCTTTCTGGGAGTAATAACAATGGCTAACAATGGATTTTTCTGTGTGGGCTGCTTTCCTCTTGCAAATCTCTCCAGCATTTAAATGAAGATACAGTAGCCACTGTTCACATATTAATCTCCTTGATGACAAAGCCACCTCTTTGTTCTGGTGTCTCTCCTAATACGAGTTATACCATAAAATTTGTATCTAGGATTTGCTTCAATCACAGTCTTACATTCCTGAGACACTGATGTAATGCAGATTATCCAGAAAGATTGGTGTGTGCCAAAGTAACTGTTCCCAAGGTGGAGTATACTGGATACAGCACTATAAATTATCAAATAATGAAGTTCTCCTGTTGTATTTTCAAAGTTCCATCTCAACAGGCTGATTTATGGGTGAAATTACTAAAAATACTGCCTGATAGTTGCCAAATCTCATCAGTCTTTAACCAGTTCCTCATTTAAAGATGAACTTTAAGCCCAACCTTGCAAACCCCAGCCTTGCAGACAATTATCCTCCTACCTAACAGAGCTTTGAGAGTCCTTGACTGGAGGCCAACTCTGAGATTTTTTGGTCATTCTAGCTGACACTTGATAATCTTTCTGGCAATCTGCAGTTACAGTTTGCTTAATAAAATGTGCCTGGAATAGACTGGAGGTGTTTCCTGGTGCAGTTATCTCAAAGATCAGGAATCTGTGACCACAAGCCTCCTACCAGTTCTGAGGACCAGAGTGGAGTGGTGGAGGCAATCCAAGTTTGTACCTGTGGCAAATTTGCATGGGTGATATCCAGTATGTTTGCAGCAGAATTCGACCACTAACTCACCCAACATTGCTGGAGATAATGAATGAGGGTGTCCAGGTTCTCCTGGTGGGACATGCCCAAGGGTTCTGCTTCACCTCTGAGAGGACAGGTCAGATCCAAACCCCTGCAAAGCATTTGGCAGTTCTCTAACAGGAGAGTGAAGGTCAGCAGTCAGGTTTGTGGCACCATGAGATAACACTGTGAGTGCAACCCCCCCAAAGCCATCAATCAGGATTAGAAATTACACAAGAAGAAAAAAATCTGGTGTGAGACCAAACCAATCTCCAGAACCAATACTCTATTAATAGCTCATGCTATTAATAGAACTTAGTGACTGCCTTCTGCTAAATTCAGAGTAACTTTGTCTCCAACCCCTGCATGAATTAGCTCTGGGCATTTTTATCTGGTTTAAAAACTAAATAAGTAAATAGTCCCCTAGTAGGTACATTAAATTACCTGAAACTTGGGCATGTTCCAAACTGGCTTCCTAACAGGGGTGTTGAGGGGTGTATCAGGAGCTGTTTCCTTGTGACAGACTGTCACTGGTCACACTTTTGCTTTTTTATGTCTTTGAGTAGCTGTTGGTTGGGTTTATATGCATGGGATGCACTGAGGATGTTTGATATCTGAAACACTCTGTATTGACTGTGATTTGGTATCTCAGCTGATGAAAAACCAACTCCTGGCAATGTCTAGGATAAAGGCCAACATCTGTTTGCTCTGATTTCAGTATTGCCTTTGTAAAATTGACCCTGGAAGTAATGATTTTTCCTGGTGAAATCCAGGCTGGAACAGCAGCTGGGAGAGCCTCTGCTCTGGCTTCTGTGCACAGACAAGGTCTGAGCTCTGCTGCCCCTCTCTCTGGTTTTCCTGCAAGGGATGAGTGACCATTTCTGAGCTATCATGAGTAAGGGAGAAGTAAGTGAGGAGGAGCAAGTGCAAAGAGGACTGAGCTGAAGGGTCACATGAAAGTGTCATTCAGATACAACAAATCAGGGAAGGAGGGAGCCTGTCTGGCCCAAGTCAGCTGCCCACCTTCTGCACCTGATGAAACTCAGGAGCTCAAGCCTTACTCATGAAATGAATATTCAGGAAATGAATCCACTGTCTGAAACCCCAAATCTGTCTCACTCGATGTCACAATGGAAGGATAATCACTTAGTCCTGAGGTGCAAGAGACTGTCACCATGCTCCTTGGAGTCCTCCCTGTATCAGCACAGCAAAAGCAGAGCTGTTCAGCTGCACTTTTATCCCTAAATAGCTCTCTGAACACTTCTAAGTGCTAAAGGAATCACTGCATCCTGTGCCAGCAGTTCTCCAGCCCATTGATCTACACAGCCCACAATTCCCATAAAGGCATCACTGACACACAACAGCTTTACAGAGCCCTTTGAAGCAAGAAAAGGAAAAGTGGATGAGGGAGCATACAGGATAAGCTGCTTAACATCTAAAGGAAAGAGGACAGCAATAACCCCAGAAAGGTGCCAAATGATAACACTACAAATAAACTGGGTGGCCAATTAGAAGGAATCAAGTCATGGTTGTGATGAGATTAGTGTCATCTACAGAGGCTAGATTCAAAGTCCAGTGAAGCCAGTGGAAAAACTCTGCCTGGCTCTGAAATGGGCCCTGGTGTCCCTCTGCTTTATTATTTAAAGGTACTGCTTCCACCCCATGGAGTAAATCTGTAACTCCACGTGTCTCCATAGTGGGGGAAAAGAGGCTACATTTTCTTGTATCTCCTCCTTATTCATACTGTATTCTGTGAGTCAAAATTGGTCATTGAAAATTTGTTCAGAGGTGGCCAGTGGTCAGTCCTGGACAAACTTCCAGCTCTGTTATTGCATTAAATCTGAGCTGTTGAATTCTCAGCAGCTCAGTGCAAGGAGATCATTATGTCCTCCAGAAGTTTTGTACAGAGCTGAAATGTAAATGAAAACAAGCTTTTTCCCTCATTTGTCCCACTAATTTCCTCTGTTCAGTTTTAACATCTTCAAAATGTTTTGTGGAAGTGAATCCTTTCTGACATCACAGCCTCGACACGGAACACAAAGCAGGAGCATCAACTGGAAACATCATTTCAAATATCTGTTTTGTGCAGTGTTGCTCCTGACAGTCACACTTCACAATGTCCTTGTGCATCCCTGTCAGTACTGCAGGAAAACCAGGATGGTTCAAAGGGTGCAGATCTATTTAGAGCTAATTAACAAGCCTGAAGTCACAGCTGAGCAGTACACATGCATTTCTGCTGTAATGCTAGTCATGACCATGCCTGTCACAGCAGTGAGAACTGGCTGCCAGCACAGGGATCTCATTTGGAGTGTTTCTCACTCAATCCCCAGCCTGGAGTTGAGTTTTTCTCAGGGAGATACAGGATGGTTGGTCCTGGCTGGCCCTGCCCTGCGTTCATTCACCCCTTTTTTGTTGCTGTAGGTTACATCGAAGCCGCTGTGATCCCTGCAGGTGCCCGGCGGATCAGAGTGGTTGAGGACAAACCTGCTCACAGCTTTCTGGGTAAAAAGACAAAAGAAAATTTGTTTTGATTAAAATTTAGCTCTGTTTTCTTTTAAAAATGACCCTTCTCTAAGCACCCTGTAAGTTTTGTTGCTGCCAGGGAGGGGCCTGGTGATTTAAGTCTTGCTGCGATCTCTGCTTTTGTGGCTTGGTTTCATGCTGTTTGTGATGTGATAGCATGTGACACTTACAGGCCCTGTGCAGCCTGGAAGGACCAGAGAGTATTTTTCTATACAGACAGAAGAGTTCCTGAGCAAAACTTGGCAGGGGCTTGCACAGAACTGCCTGGAGCACACAGCACTTCAGGAGGGAGTGGGGAATAGAACAGTGTGTTTAGAGAAGGGAGTGGCAGAGGTACTGATAGCAAGGCACCCAGCTCAGTCTGAAGCAGAGGCAGGACAGCGCAGCTGATATCCCTCAGTAACCTGCTGCCATTTCCTACAGCAGCACATTTTCATTGGATGCTGTACCCAAGGCCTGTGCACTCTGAGATGGGCTTAGCTGCACCAGTCCACTTGCCTCTATTTTATCAGGCAAAAAAATTGTTTAATCCTCTTGTCATTTCTACTTCTGCATTCCTTTAGAAGGAACAGGCACCCTCTCCTCCTTTTCCTATTGAGAAAAACGGTTTAGACATGGCTGATGGGTAAGATTTGCATGTGAGGTAGGGCAGAGTCTATCAATGAATTTGTTGTTCTGTTACTCATTGCATAAATTAAAGGTCAGAATGGCATTTTTAAAGTGCAGCCAGTCAGCTACACTGAGGATTTGTCAGTCTGGTCTTCTGCCTCTTTTCTCCAGTGTTTGAGGCATTTCCTTCTCTGTCATTACTGTGCAATAGATAAAAGGTTTTATCCCCATCTACTTCTAGGGAGTCCAAGTCACAGACATGCTAATGCCCCATAGCCCTTAATTTCCACAGGAAGCCTGTGGCACAGCAGAGGCTTCAAAGAAAATTGCCCAAGATCCAAAAAAACCCTGACATGTGCAAGGTCCCTGGCACAGTCAGAGCTGCATGGCCATGGAATTGCTTCCAGAGAGGAAGGAACTCTGAGAGGATTGCAGAGCTTGTCACTCCCTGTTTTGTGGAAGAAGAAACTGAGGTGTTGCAGCTTGCTCATGGCTATGCAGGGAGTCAGAACAAAGCTCAGACCTTGGTCGCTGATTTCCACATCTTTTGCTTATAATTCTTCATCTCTGGCCAAAAGAAGATGTTAATATCCAGCACTGGAATATCAGATGCTGCTGAAAGCATTTGCATAGTGGTTGTGTCAGGATTTCAGCTCTAGTGCTATTGATTTTCTGTCTTGAGATGTTGCTGCAGTTGGCAATATCACCAGGAAAGATGTTTTTGTTCTCTTTCACTCCAGATTCAGGGGAAAAAAGGAGGGCAAATTATGTCATTCAGCTGCTCTTTGATCAAAACCATTGGCATTTGTGGCACTTCTTGTTAGGAAGGAATATCACCACTGCTCCTATTTCCATAATGCTTTAGTGGAGGATCCCGCCTACACGTGAGATGTTTGGCATAGCAAAGCCTGGTGGAACAATGGGAGCCAGTGTTTCTTTGGGTTTTGCAAGTGCTCTGCCTTCTGGAAACCAGCCTTTTTGTTTGTCTTGGTGGGGTTTGCACAGGGTATTCGGGCTTTGGCAGATAGCAGAGCACTGAGAGTCTTACACGGAGTTAGAGACTGCCCTTCCTTGGGACAACATAACCTTGACTAAAGCAGATGGTTCCCCACTGGGTGGTGAAGATTAGGATTGCGTATTTTTGAGAGCAGGAGCTGGCCCTGTTTGCATCACATAAAGATAGATAAAAATCTGGCTCTTTTAAAGCTTTTAGTGCTTTCAGCTCTTTGGTTCATGGTCAGGAGCCAGGAGAACCTCTCTGAGCTTTCCAGGGTTTTCTCTTTCAAGGAACACTCAACACAAAGAAAAGATACTCAATGTCTTGCTGAACTGAGATGAAGAATAGTAGCAGGGGTTCATAGGGCAATAAAGATGACCAAGAAAAAAACCCCAATCACTCTTAAATTCAGGTCTGAGTGTGAAAGGATTTTCTATTTCAATAGCACTGACAAAGCTGAGTCCAATCAGGTCTTATTTCTACTCAGAACCAGGTACAACATTCTGGAAAAAAGCCCAGCATAATTTGGAATCATTATTCCATGTGCTGGGAGCAGTGCCTGAAGAATTTCCCTCCACCTACAGGCAACCCACGCTGGCTGCCTTGGCTGGCTGTAACTCTTAAAAACCACCTTGAACAGGAAATGCCTGGGCAGTTTGTGTCCACAGGCTGGGAAGCAAGCTGGAGAGACCCAAGGTGGAAATAAACCTGACTAGATGCCAGGCTTAGAAGTTGATTGGTCAGTTCCTGCCTTCCAGCCAACAAGAAAAACAGAAGTTACAGGTTGTTGCTAGGGTTCCTATTCCTCTTGCTCTTCTGCTGTACAAGTTTGAGTTTAGTTCTGTCACCTCTGGGGCTGGGCACACAGCCAATGGTTGTATGTGACAAAAGCCATTGGAGTTCTCTGTGTCTGAGACATAGAAGGTTTCATAGCTGCAGCAGTGATCTTGCTGATGGGGTAGTGGAGGCAAACAGCAGAGAAAACACTTTGGTCCAAATGCTCTGCTGAGTCCCCAGTGCAATTCCTGCAATCCTCGAGAAGTACCTTTGGAAACAGGTCTGTTTCCAAACTCTCCATCTCCTCAGCCACTAAAGGAGCAGTGCTTGCAGCAATCAAAATCAAGCCCTGCCCAGAAAAGAGGATCACAAAGATGAAACGTTCATTTTCATCTGCAAATTATCTCCTTTGATGGTGAGCTGGAACCAAAGCATGACTTAAGTCACTCAACCTCTTAGACAGTTCGGAGCACGTGCTGGGCTATCTTTCCTAGTCAGCCATGCTTCTTGGAGATAGTTTTATCTCATCCACAGCTTTGATTTGTCACGTGGTGGCTGCTTTGATCTGCCTGGAAGCCACTAGGCCTTGGCAGAGGAAAGCAATCCTGCTTCAGAATTGTGCATGCAGCTTGCAGAAGGTACTTTGTAAACTGAGGAACAAAGCAGAAAGAGAAGTGAGCCACAAGGAGAGACACATTGCTGCAGCATGCAAGTGCCAGGACACCATCTAACCCCTGGGCCGTGTGCCAGAGGAGACTTTCCTCAGAAAAAATAGTCTCCCAATTTAGTTCCCCTTCACGCTGATTTTGGAGCCTCTGATGGGACTCTGAGAGCTATCAGGAAGATTGTGTACAACAGGACAGATATCCACCTTTTTCCAGGATTCCCAGTGTACAGGTCCTCAAAAAAGCAGATGCAGAGGACTTTGTGACCTCCTCTTGCTCCAGATTTCCCCAGAGTTCAGACATCACAAATTGTATGTATATATATATATATATATATATATATGTATATATCCATTGTATATATATATATATCCACCCAGGAGGGTTTGTTGGCTATGGAGGCTTGATCCAAAGGAATGACAATAGGAGATTTCCTATGGACTTCCAAAGGCTTTAAGCAGCTTCTCTTACCTTCTTGCAACACACTCAGTTAAGTGAGAGCAAAGTTGTGTTCTTTACTGGAAGAGAATAAAATAGGCATGAGATGCTAGAGGTTAAAAAAACATCTTGTTAAAGGCTTAGTCAAAAGACACAGTTAACCTTGAACTAAAGAAGCCCAGTAACACATGGGTTATTTTGTCTGTCTGCTGTCAGGGCAGATTTGATCACAGTGAATGGATTTCCACAAAGGGGCCTGGCACTTTCTGCTGCAGCAGGATCTGCCAATTTTCTCTTCCCTCAGTGCATCACACCAACATCTGGATAACTCTGCTTCCGTTCTAACACAGAAACACATCAATGCCTAAATCAGCTTCCACTGATGAGTCAACAGTAATGTGATGCCCTTATGGCTGGAGTTGTCTTTGAGTCCTTCAAACAGGACATCAGTGATCCTGATGCAATAGTTAGGCTGGAAGAAAGGACATACAACTCCAAATATATTTTCTTCTCAGTATTCATCTTCCTTCTGAAGCTGAGCTTTCCATGTTGACCTTAGAGAGGCACACGGGCACAGGATGGGTGTGATCCTACAGCACCTGACCTTATGAATTTGTGTCCAGCACTTGGGCTCTGAAAAGAGGATGGCCAGGTTCATGTTTTGGCCACTGACCAGCCCCTGCTTTGTGACTTGACTTCTCTTTACAGCTGTGACAGCTGAATGTTAATTTTTCAGTGTTTGGTTATGGAGCACACACAAACACAGCATCAGCTGTATTTTGCATTTGCAAATCTTGAAGTGTGTATCAACAAAGATTTGATTGATATTTTTCTCAAGGAGAGTTTAGGAAAATGTGGTCTCAAAATCTGGAAACTGAAACAAAATTTTGCTTGGAAACTAAATTGCAGATTTGTCTTGTTGCATTTAAAAGGAGAGTGTAGAGGTAAATTATCTATGAATTTTATGTTAATTCTTCAAAATACCTTCATCAACTGAATACAGAATATATCCAAGTTAAAAAAATCACAATGGGCCATCTAAAAGTGGGGGAGGTTTTATTCTTTTAAACTCACATCCATGACAAGGTTTTTGCATCTTGTTCTTGAGGTACCTTGAGACGAAGGCTCAGTAGTCTATATTGTAATTACAATTTTGCTTGCATTTCATTCCGTGGTCTTTGATTCATTCCAGCTCTAAAAGATTCCAGTAAGAGATCCATTAACAGCGACTGGAAAATTGAGCTTCCTGGTGAGTTTCAGATCGCAGGCACCACTGTCCGGTACGTGCGAAGGGGGCTGTGGGAGAAAATCTCTGCCAAAGGACCAACTAAAATACCACTGCACTTGATGGTAACTTTATATCCTTTGTTTGTGTTTCTTAAGTGATGCAACAGAAAGGGTTTCTATCCTAGCTGAAAGTTAAATTTTGATTGTTTGCTTCCTCACCACAGTGTTCTTTTGCAGCATTGCAGGGGCTGGAGAAGCCCAGCTCCCCACTCAAAAAGTGATGCTCCCATCCTGGGAGAGCAGGCAGTGTCCCATTCAGCTCATGTCCAGTGCAGGGTATCCCTGTAATGTGTCACAGACAGGTCCATTCTAGAGCATGTAGGTTCCCAAGGACCTGTCTTATTTTTTGAACATACCTGATCACACACATAACTGCATATTTGCTGAAATGTCTTTTCATCTTTTGCCAGAATGTAGTCTGTGTTTAAGTACTCTGTTCTCTAACAGAAGAGGTGCAGATCTAGCATACACAGATGATATATGTGAATTTGAATCTAAGTAATGACTTAATTACACACAGAAATGTTCTTAGTTTTCTCTATATTGTTTTTCCAATTGTATGTAGTTTAAGGTGTTTTTTGACATTTTTTCCTAATGTTAAGCATAGCCCTTCTGTTAACCCAGCTTGGTATTTTATGAACAGCCTGAATGTGTCTGAGCATGAATGAGAAGTCTACAAGGTTGAGAAGAGCAGGACTGTGGTCCCAAAGCTGTCACTGGTGGGTGACAGGGTGACCCATGGGCCAATCCCTCAATGCTGGTGTAACCTTAACATTTGTATTTGTGAGGCAGCTGTAATAATTCCTGTCTCATATATTTGTCCCTGTTTAAAAGTCTGCAGAAAACTTTACAGGTTCTGTAGCAAGGTTTGCATAGCAAGTATATTTTTTTGTCATTGTTTCCTGTAACTTTTTTATTCTATTCTGTTTTTTTTGTGCTGTTTCTTCTCCTTGTGACTTTTTGCCATATTTGTTCTCTGAAGGCTATCTGTGAGCACTGCTAAAAATCAGCATTCTCTCCCCTCCCTCACCTGATTTTTTTGGCTTGCATGTGTTCATTGTGCAACACTTCCTGACCCAGGTTGAAAAGCTCCAAAGACACCTGAACTTTTCCCACACACAAAAAGCTGACAGTAATACTCCACTTGGTCAGTACCTTCTTGGTGTCAAAATCTGCTGCACAGGAACATGAGGGGTTTTGTTTTTGCTTTCTCAGACAGATGAGTGAGTTTACAGGCTCACAGACCAGTGTAGTGCTGGATTCAAAGAGGTTACAGCTGGAATGGTCAGAGGTGCAGAGTTGGGCACACCAGCACCTTCCTGGCTCACCCATATAGTCCAGGGTGTGCCCACTCAGAGGAGGTCTATTACAGAAGGTGTATCACACCTTCTTCAGCACCAGAAACATCAGCTTCTTCTTGACTTTGGCCTTAACACAAGCCTTCCCTCCTGAAACCAGGACTCTGACAAAGTACCTTGTAGTGCCAAGGTCTTCCCAAGCTCATGTGAGAAACAGGAGTTGCACAGGTACCGTTTGGGAAGATGCTGTGCAGGGTTCCTTTGGCAGCTCTTGGAACCTTCTGGGGCATTACTTGGTTGAGGTCCACTGTAGTAAAATCTGGATATTGGCATTTTGTGAACCTCAGCATCAGCAGAACTTTGATTTTAAAGAAATGCTCAGTTCCCCTTCATTAAGGTGTAAGTAGCTAACATAGGAGTGATTTTGAGCTTCTCCATGAGTGTTCTGTCCAGATACAGACAGGCTCTTTCAGCAAACATAAGCAAAGGAGATGTTCCTTCTTCACCTTTCTTCACACAAGTGATTAAAAGTGAGGAATGTAAAAATTACCAGACCATTTAAAAGCATGTGGTTTTAAATCACTGCCAGTGGTAAACAGAGCACACATGAAGTCTTTGCTTCAAATCAGATACAAATCTTTTCCTTGATACAGGGTGGTGGGTTTCATTCTTTCAACACAAGAAAGGCAGGATGGTTACCAGTTCCCTCCAAATAGAAAACTGTTGTTCAAACAGTGGTGGAATACACTGGACTGACAAAGAGCCAGAAGCTTCAGTCAATCCATTGTGACCTGCATTTGAAACCAATTATACACACATACACACACCCCCCAATTATATATGGCTACGAAATTGCATGAAATTGGTTTCATATGGGCCTTTAGATTCACTGGTCTCGCACCCATATTGAGATAATAAGGATTTCTTTTTAGGAGCTGGTTTTTAATACTTGAGGCATTTCTCCAAGTGCATTGCTGTGCGTGTATTTCTTGGAGAAACTGGTGTTTGTGTAAGTAGGCCTGTGCTAGCCCTCCTTGTTCAACAGAGGACAACTAAACACTCCCAGGGAAGAAGGGGGCTTTAGACAAGGCTGACTGATGAGTTCTCTAGAACAGGATTTTGTATCTCCTGCACTTCAAGAAAACCAGAGCAGGGCTCAAGCTTTCTGTCTCTGCCTGCCTGATGTTTGAATTGTGTTTAAAGAAACCAACATTCATCTTTGAAATTGTAATGATGGCTAGCTAGTTTCAACCCTGGAATTCAGTACTGGTAGTGAGGCTCCCTCTGTAGCTGAAGCAAAGTCATGTCTTTGTTCCCCACATCCTCTGGAAGAGGCTCATCTGCCCAGGGTTCTGCTCTGTGCAGAGCAGCTCATGGGTGCTGAGTTTGTGGAGCCCCCTCTCAGTGTTCACAGCACAGGCTGCCAGGCCCCCTTCTTTCAGCACATTTGTTTGGTTAAACAAGCTCCTGACAGCTTTAGTGAGATTATTGGTTAAGTAGGAATGATTGTACAAATCTGAAGGGGACACAGTTATTGTTGGGGGAAAATAGCATTTGCAAATTAGTCTTTTATCAAATGGGCAGTTGCTTGCTCCACTTATGAGAGCCTTTATTTGATAAGGCATTGCTCCTGTTTCAGTAGGTGACAAAAGCCAGCACAATTCACCTGTCTAATGCTGCTCAGATCATGGGATAATGAGTGTAAGTAAGTTTAAAGCCACAGCATGGACATTACAGTAGTACTTCTATGGCATTTGTTAATACTGAGGTAACTCAGATTCCATGGACCCTGTTCTCCATGGGATATCTTCCAATCAGTTCTGACTCAAGCCAGGGAAAGTGAGAGCCAAATGAAGTCCAACGTGTAAATCAAAACAAGACCAGTACTCTCATCTGCCTATGGTGAAAACATAAACATTTTTCTCTGCTCCTTTGTTAACAGTCAGGGAATTTTGGAGTAATAACACTGGAGATATCACAAGTGGCTCCATAGGAAATGGCCTGCTATAAGAGGCAGGTTTCACCTTCCTCTACCAATATGCAGGGATGAAAATATATGTTGCCAGAAGTCATCCACAGTTTTCTGAGACTCCTGCTGCAGCTTGTCGGCAGGAGTAGTCATGTTTGCCTTGAGTGCCACATTCACCAGGAGACAAGGGACTTTTTGTGCAGCAGTTGTTCTTGCTCTGAGAAGCATCACCTTGTTCTTTCAGATGTTTAATTCTAAATGCTCTTTAAAATAGTTGGTATATGAAAAGTGCTGATTTAATGCTTCCTGTTGTCTTTCTCTTTGAATAGCCAGTGTCCTGCTGATCACATGTGAGGCTGAAAGTTGTGCCTTGAATTCCAGGTTTAGACATCCCTGTGAGTCCTTTAAATATTCACAAATCATAAGCAGTTCTTGCTCCTGCAGTTGCCCTGTTTTACCAGTGCTGTTGTAATCTAAGTTTTATAGATAAAGATTTGGTTGCCTTTCACAGGGTATTATATTTTAGGAAGTTTTTCCTGAGCCAGCATTTCCAGCAGTGCTATCTCACAGGCTGTTGGCTCTCCCAGCACAGTGTGTTGCAACAGCCTCTCTTTTCCTGCCGAACCAGGTGCTGTTATTCCACGACCAGAACTATGGAATTCATTATGAATACACCATCCCTGTAAACTATACTGCTGAAAACAGAAGTGAGCCAGAAAAACAACAGGATTCCTTGTACATCTGGACACACAGCGGATGGGAAGGATGCAGTGTGCAGTGTGGAGGAGGTAGGGACACCAGGAAGCTTGGTGAGAATCCCTGTGTGGTGTTTGCAGCCTCCAGCCACAGAAGAGGTGGAAATTGGCCATGAAAATGGACTTTGCCATAATGAATTCAATGAAAGCTCCTTCTCACCGGCTCTCCCTGCTCTGATCCCTGTCCCCACAGTTAATTTCCAGCCTTTTGGCAGGGACACTGCTCTGTCACCGCAGGCTGGAGCTGCACCTGGGTTCTGTGTGCAGCCCCACGCCTCCAGCCCCCACCACATTCCTGGAGCAGTGTCCCACAGATGTCCAGGCACGCTCAGGGAAAGGCACTTCCCTCCCCAGGGATGGAGCTGGAGCGGGGCAGTGCTGCTGTGACAGCTCCTGGGGATCCACATCAGGTGCTCCCATCTGGGGGCACGCGGCAAAGCTCCCTTCCCACAGCATCCCTGGATGTGCCCAGACAGATCTGCTGGAGCCCTGGGGGAGCTGATGCTGTGAAACCAGAGTCTGCTTTGTCAGACACTGTCCATTGCATTTTCAGTGCTGGAAGAAGTAGGTTGTTCCCTGAGGAAAACAGATTGCTTCCAAGCGTTCTGGGCAGTCTGTCTTCACCAGCAGACTCAGTTATTTATGATGTGACATGACAGGAGGAAAGAGCTCATCTTCACATTTGCAGGCTCACTGCCCTCACTGCACTGAAATTACTGATTTTTTTCTGTAAATAGGACTCACTTTAGAATAGACACTTTTACTCTTGCATTAAAATAATAATTTTTAAGTCATTAAACTGTCACATGAGGGAAAAGGAAATTTATTTGTGTCTCTTCTAATTTTTGTTGTAAGCCTGTTACAAATTTGAATCAAATCAGTGTCTTCCAGCATAGCTCCCACGACTACTATCTTGATAATTGGTCTTTTATTTTAGCTGTCCAATGCTTTTGCTACTTATCCAAGCTGAGAGGGGCCTTTCTCCTTTCCATGTTTGCATGCTTTTTATTAACAGAGCATGAGTTATTTTTTCGTTTCGGCTGCAGATGGTGAATAAACTCAATCTGACGCAGACTCAGGGTTAGAAAGAGAACCTGAGAAACCAAAATTAGCAGTAAGGCAAAGTCACACAGAGCAGGAGTAGCACTTTCCTGGTCACATCTGGTCACTGTCGTGCTCCCTGTGGCACAGCTTTCCTGATGCCACTCAGTGGAAGGCTGAGCCCTGAGGGCCACACTGGATGAAAGAAACTCCTGGTGCACAGTTTATGTGAGAAATGCTGACTCCTCCTGAGATGCCTCCTGCCACAAGGATTTTAATGCAGTATATCTGGAGGAGCAGGAGTTGAGAAATACCTTATTTTGGTGGCTTTGTTTTCTCTTCGTGAAATATGAACAAGTTCAGTTAATGACTCTTGAACCTCGGTCACTCCTTTTCATTCTGACTTCCTGCCTGGGGAGCAGCAGGAGGCAGCTGTCCTGTCATTATCAGTCACATTATCAGGGGTGGGAGGTCTGTGACTTCAGCACATCTGCCCGAGGTGATGACAGGGTACAGCTACCTGTGGAGGAGGAACCAGAAATGAAAACAAATTGTTTTAGAGCTCCTTTCCACGTTAAACACTAGAAGGAGAAAGCCCAACTTGCTGCTCATGTGAAACAGTCAATTGTGTGATTATTGGGGAAAGATTTGTAGCTTTTCTGAAAAAAAACCCAAAAAAACCCAAAAAACATGCCCGTACAAAGTTCAGGCAGAGTGGAGAATAAGATTTCTTGCACAGGTGGTAGAGTACATCTGGTAGAGGGAGCAGGGAGCTCCAAGCTTTTGTGTTTTGGTGGATGAGTGGAGGTGGTTTTGTTCAGAGTTCTTTTTCATTTGGCTTCCAGGTGAGAGGAAAACCATCGTGTCCTGCACTCGGCTCATTAACAAGACCATGACACTGGTGAATGACAGTGACTGCCAGCGAGTGACCCGCCCCGAGCCCCAGGTCAGGAAATGTAACACACACCCCTGCCAGTCACGGTAAGGAGTTAAAAACACTACAACCAATATCCTTTTCCTTCAGAAACTGCCCTTTCCAAAGCCTCCATCTGGTGAACACAGTGAAAATGTCTCAAAGTATTGGGACACATTGTTAGCCACAGTAAGCAGCTGTAATATTCATTTCCTTTAGTTGAGCAGGTCAGATTTTCATTACCTCAGACAAAGCCCATTTAATTTGTGGTCAGTAAGGCCAGATTCTGTGCAGGCTGCCTTCATGCATTGTTTGGGGGTGGTTTTCTTTTCCCCTTGGTTGTCTCCTGGGAGACAGAAAAACTTACAGTATAAAGTTAGACAAGAGTACAGTGACTGCATATCTAATCTTTCTTTTTGTTAATCAGCACAGAATGGGGTCTGATTAACTGTCAAACAGTACTACAAAAGCCCTGAAGTCAATAAATTAAATTATGATGAAACTCATTTTAGATGTTTTCCTCAGTAAGGGTGCTTTTCTCTTCACTAGTTATTGGAGATCTTTAAAAATAATAAAAGTTTAATTTGGCAAGCACTTATATCTGCATTAATTTTGATCTGTGTTATATTAAAAAAATACATTTGTGGCCAAAATGACAAAAGACAGGAAGGTAAATTAATTTGTTCCATTTGTATGCTAACAGAAAAGTTCACTCTTGTTCTGCAGTGATGTTTAGCATTGTAGTGTAGTATAGAAACTCAAATTTTGATAGTAGTTTGAATAACACCAGGATCAGGGGTTTGATCCATGTATGGTCCATTCACTTCAGTAGTGGACTCAGTGATCCTTGTGGGTTCCTTCTAACTCAGAATATTTTGTGATAAAATCGATTTCAGATAAAGCTGAACAATACCTAAAGAAGCATCTTCAAACCAACCTGCTGGCTGCTGTATCTTGGATAATCAGACAAGCCAGGGAAATGCACCTACAAAGCTAATCCTACTGGCAGAAACAATGGGGCAAACAACAAACAGCACACTTCCTTTTAATTAGACCTGCACTCTGATTAAAGTGCCCTGGAGCAGGGAAATGCAGTGTCAGGTCATCCATCAGTAAGGCTGGTCAGGTTTCAGTTTCTGTCTGGACTGCCTGTTATTGCTGCTGGACAATATTGGCTGTACAGCTTGCAGTACTGAAAGGTATAATGAGATATTCTGGTGTGTAAGGAGAGTCAAAATTCCAATGACTTCAAGGAAACAACTGTTTCCTTGAAGAAGGAAGTCCAGTGAGGCTGGGATTTCTGTCATGTCACTCTCTCAGAAAGAAACAAAAAGCATCTGCTTGTGTTGCTGCCCTGGCATGAAGTATTTCTCTCAGACCTTTTGGAAAGCTGTTGGGAGCAGACTGGAGTGAGCCCAAGCAGGCATAGGAGGGATTCCAGGTGGTAGAGATGAAGAAAAGAATTTTAAAAGTTGTGGAAGTTGTGGGCAGCTTCTGCCTCTGCCAGCTGAGAGCAGGGATGGGAGGTTCTGGCCATGTCACAGCCCTGTGACCCAAATTGTGCTCTGAGGGATCCCCATGACCCTGAGCCCCTGGGGAACTCTGTTTGGTGCCCTCCCACCATGGCACTGCTGCCTGTCCAGGGCAGGGATATGGGTGAGGTTAAATCACACAAAACCTCCTGAGAAAGGATTACTCTGCTCCTGTATCCAGCTTGTGTTCCTCTGGGGATTGGGTCCAGCCCATAATGTCATTCCAAGGTCTATCTTCTTCTGTGTGAAGCCAGCAGCAGTTTATGGGCACAGCTTGGCACAGTTCTGCCCATCTGCAGTGAGCTCTGGCACAGGGACACTCTCATTGGCCCATTTTTTTCAGATCAATGACAGCAGACACTGAATGTGCTTAGAACCTGGAAAGGCCACAGAATCCTTGCTGATGATCTGATAGACCACACTCCTCACTCCCTCTGTGTAGAGTACACTTTCACACTTAACATGCTTTTAACTGGAAACATTTTCAGAAGCACATTCTCTGTGCCTCTGTAGAATTTAAATTTCCACTTGCATTTGCCCACCCAGACATTAGAAAAGCATGCTTAGCATATTCTCTGACCAAGAACATCTTAAAGAAACCATTCTCTTTCACCATGTCAATGCTTTTTTTATGAGCCCTGAATTTGTTTTAGGGTTTCAAGTAAAATTATTGTAGCATCTTGTTACAATAAGGTCCTTTCCCATTTCCACTCAGACCTAAGCCCTTCACCTGAGTTCAGAAGAAGGAACAATGCTCTCCTTTCTCTAGTAAACCAGCTCTGTTTTGTGCATTCTGAATTGCATTTGCACTTTCACTCAAAATTGAGGAGAATCACCTTTCAGAGTATTTATCTCTGGAGAGGAGTCTTTTGGCCAGCACAGGACTGGGTCAGAGGACACTCAGTCTCTGTTTCACTTTTGGATGGGTTGTGTGACTTTTATTCACTATCCCACACTGTCCCTTTGTTTCCTTTCTCAATCCATGTATAAGCAAGATTGCAAACTCTTTGGGATGGGTGAGAGCATGTTGTTTAAGTGGAGGAAGAGGCTGTTGCTGTTGAGATTGTAATAAAAAAAAATAGTTACCCACATTTATAAAGTGATCAGGAGGAAAAAAGGATATGTTATTAATAACAGTGTCTTTCTTCCAGCATGATCCCAAAGTGCTTTGTAAATTATATATCCCTTTGAACTTCAGCCACCTCTCAGGAGAGCCAAATAATGTAGGGCCGGGGACAGTACTTTCATGAGGCCAGGGAGAAGATTGGAGTTCTCCAACTGCAACCCAGCATCTGAGGAAAACAAAGCAGGATTTAAAACTTGATTGGATACACTGACATGTTTTAAAATTAAACGTCAGAGAAGAGAATTTTATTTAGGGTTTTGTTGAAACTGGCAAAAATAAAAGAATCTTTCATTCTTTATTATTGTTACTCTTTCACCTTTTAAAAAAATGCCTCTTTTTCTTCCTATTTTATTTTTTATATTCCTTGACCCTCTTTTTCCATTAAATTCTTTACAGCTTCCTTTCCTGTCCCAACTGCACCCTATTAGCACCTCTTTATTCTAATCCTTTGCCTAGCTCTTTAGATATTTTTTACAAAACCCTGCTGTAACCAGATGGAATCTGGATTCCTGCATGCGGCGCGTATGGGTCGCTTCCAGCACGCCCAGCACCAACCCAAATACAGCGGCAGGGCCAGCCCTGGGGCTGGCACCAGACTCACAAATCACAGATCCCATCAGCTGTTTTCACTGAAAACACAGCTCTGCCAGTGGCCACACACTTCTACATGCATGGCTGGGGCTGTGGCTATGAAACTGCTCCCCTCCAACGCAGGAAAAGCACCAAAACCACATGAAATTCCCCAACTGTTGGAGTTGTAATGGACTGTGTGCAAGCACTGGTAATTTTTCTCCTCATTGCTGTAAGAGATTTTAGGAGAGGTTAAGTCCTTTCAGGGGCCTGCTGAATATTTGGTGTTCTTACATGGATGTTGAACAGCAGCATAAATGCCAGAAATCCCTGGCTGCATCTACAGAAAACCACAGGAGACCTTGAGCACTTATTTTCACTGTTTAGGATTTGAAAATATCTCCTGAGCTCAAGGGTTAGGTTTCTGCTACTAACAGCAGCGTATCTTAGACTGCTTTCTAGAAGCTGAGCTTTTTCCACAGGCTACTTCACTCACTGGAAGGTTTTCCTTTGACCCTGCTGTTCATGTAGGTCTGACCTTTTATTTCCAGC